TTTATGCGTGGTCTTCCCGTTTGTGACTTACCAAAGGATTATATCATCTCCCGCATAAAGAAATCATGTACGATTTTCAACCTTAACTAATGGCATAAATAATTCCGTCCATCCTGTTTACTGTACCCTGATTAGCAGACCATCTATGGATTATGATGCATTTTGTCGGCTGTCGCAGTGGATGAAAATTTTACATTCTCTGCCATGCCATTTGTTTCTGTGACTGCCACTTTCTGTTTTCGACAGTGCCGCCGAAGCTGTGTTATTAACAACATTCTAGTTCATACACTTATTTTGAGCAATAAATCAACGTTTGCAAGTTAATTCCTAGCTAGAATATTTTTGACTAATAACGCCCATTCCCAACATGAACAAAAAAGTGCCCACGATCTACTAACAGAGATATTCTCGGTATAATGTATCGAGCAGGTCGAGGACAGGTCATGAAGTGTAAAGTGAGAATTGTCCCGAAGAAAGTAAGCATTCTTGGAGGGGTTATGTTCCTACATTAGCAAAGTCAAAAGTAAATTGATTAGGAGACTGATAGTCGCACTTTGAGGTATACATGTTTTATATGCCATGTGACGTTAGCACCAACAAACTGTTGAATAACCACAGTTCACAGCGATAAAATCATCAACTACCAATCCAGGTAATCTGTGATATTTATGAATCACAGATAATCAGTTGATTGTAACATAAAATGGTTCCTGTGCATGATTAGCGTTCACTTAAATTTTCAAACTAGGCGGTAGGGGCAATAAAAGATAAACATGCAATTGATTTGCTCATCGTTTGAATGTTCGGTGCATATTAATCAATATTTCGATGAAAAGTACATGGCAATTATTTTATCAAGTTGAATGATCACCCATTTAGGAAGCAGAGCAATTCGCCGCTTCTACGTTCACTGAATGGTACAAATATCATCCGATCGATTTATTTCCCATTCAACCTTTACTTCTGCTGCATGAATAGAGGCGCTAGTAGGAATGGTAAAAAATTCCAATGTTGTTTTATTACTGATTCAGAGATTGGACATTTAACTGCACCTGAAATTACACTGGATGCCATACAGACTTTTCGCTTGTATGGAATTAATGCGTGCTCACTCTTCAGTCCTTTCGCAACCATGCTTATTTTCACGAGATCTTGTCATCCTGTTGCAGTTCTTTCAGGCTGCTGCTTGCCATCAAGCCTTATGTTCAGTTCTCGCTTCGCAAGAAGGCTAATGTCCATTCACTCGCAATGACCCCGCCGTTTTATAAGCCTTGTCAGTTGCCAATCTTCACTTTGGCTGGATATTCTAATCTCTCTCTTACTGTGACATCTGACATCCATCTTACCAACTAACTCAAAATATGGATTATTAAACCTTTATTTATATCTCTTACAGTTTCCGGTTTTCCGATTTGTTAAATGCTGACCTTCACAGACCATGGACAAAGATGCTTACAGTGCAAGCCATGTATATCCGCAGCTTTGTGCTATCCTTCGATGGCCTGTTTAACTTGCCGCTAACGCTAGTGCACCGCATCTCCTCTTGACAGGATATGTCGCTCTTTCGCAGCAAAGCTATTCCGAAGAACAGATGTTCCAGTACTTTTGGCATTGCTTCATTAGAGTAAATGATAAGGCATGTGTTACTTTATTTCCTGCGTATTCTCGTCCAACTCATTTCTTTAAGTTCATCGAGAGACTAAGATCAGAACACCTCTGTTCCCCAATTAGTAACAATAATGCCACAGTTTCGAAACGGCCTGCTAGAAATGCCATGTCATCCACCAATTCAGTCGAGTTCATTAAGATGTCATGTAAAAACCGCCGTAGCCTTATTCTTCCATATTCGCTGCATAATCACGAATTTAATATTAAAAACGGCAGAAGAGACTTCATTGCTCCTTGTCTTGCTACGAATTTGTGACGAGAAACCTCTGATTCTGCCGAAAGTCAAGAATGGAACTAATTTTTTTTCGCTGATTTAAAAATTGCAAAGAAATCACATGAGGATTCAGAGATCACATTTCAACCATGAGGAACAATGATATAATTTGCATGCTTACACAGCTTTATCGAAGACGAGATTTCTCCAGGTTTCGAAATCGAAAATGTTATCATGTCAATTTCTTGATATCATCCATCTCACGTATCGACCTGTTGGAGTCGTAGACCGACTGGGCGCTCTTCGTCGTCTTAGAGTGCCACAGAGCTTCCAAACTGTTAAGCTATCAGAACTATCAGATGCCCCTTAGATGCAACAGCTGTCAGCCGACCTAAAGAGTCAGCCACAGCAGCAGTTCTTTGACCTGTCCGGACAATATGTGGAGCTTGTAAAGCAGGAAATGGTAATGGGCGTTCCTGCACCTGGACGAGAAGCTGCAAGATATCCTGTCGAACGAGGACCAGCTGTCGGGCAGCACGGTGATATGGGCACTGATCCGATCATCACACATCCTCATCGGCAACATCGGCACAGCAAGACGTTACTGCCGAGGTCGAATACCGTATTCTTCAACCGAGTACCACAAGCAGTGCCTGCTAATGGAGCGCCAATGGATATCTGCAAGTCGGTGGCTCGGTGTGACCTGCACATCACACCGTCGATCAGCCGCTGTGGATAATTTTTTAAGTCTGTTATCAACTGTCACATCTGAGCCGGGTACAGTAGTTCCTCGAACAGCTTGGTGGAGCTGTGGCACTTTACCTGCAGCCTGCGTGGCCGTCGAGACGGCGAAAATCCCGAAGGTGCCCAGTCGGTCCAGGGTGCACGAAGGTTCGTAGAGGAGATTTGGGCGTTCTTCTTGTTCATCGGCTGACTCTGCACGAACACCATCGAGTAACGCAAGCCATCACCAGAGCCCAGCCACATTCACTGATCCTGTCGGTGACCGGCTTTTACTGAAACATACCACTGAAGAAGAGCAGAGCATAGACGACGCGATGAATGAAAGTTTTTCAGGGACTTTCTCAAGGCAGTAATACGAATAAGCATTATGCTTTAGCGTCAGGCTTTTGGAACCGCCTTAATCATGGCTATATCATGGTTGGCTGCAAGGGCATTGCAGCGGTTTAAAGATATGCTAATTAGCATCAGTGGAGCAGTGAGGATATAAGGAATCAAAATATCTGCAGGTGCAAAACTAGCAGCAATCCGATCACAAGATACTGATTTCGTTTACATAGAGAAACGTAATTTAATTTGTTGATTAGTTCAATGGTCATACAGTGGTTAGGACAGATCTTAATAGTATGAATGTCATTAGATGTGATGGATAGCAGTTGTATAGCATAACGACCAATCCAAGTGCAATGGATGACTTATGCCTACAGGCCTATTCGGTGCTGCGAATCAGCAGGCTTCGCTTCAATCGATCACATACAACTAATTTGCAAGACTTTCATATCCCAGTGATATTTCTTAAACATCATGTGACAATGATCCTAACAGGGATTGATTATCAAAAGAATAAATAAAAACCATTGAGCTTTACTCCTGTTGGCAATAGGTGCCTTTCGAAATTCTTTCACGTCAGGCTTGAATACAATTATATCCTCTCATCTATTCCAACAACCAAAGTGCAAGGTGGCGTGCCAGTATTAAATCATGAAATTAAATCATTTCCTTACCTGTTATGTAGTTCCTGAAAGCTCCCATAAAATTGATGGCTAATGCAATGATAAATTATTTGTTAATATATTGTTTCATAAGTATTTGCAAGAGAAATCTGTCTATGATAAATGTACACATACTCTAAGCCTCATGGCAGCGAAGAGATTTAGATGAACTTTCCACACTCATCCCTAAGAAATTATGAAATGAAGATTGACGTCCGCGCAGAGACTGGTGGTTACATGAAGTGTATAGTTTAACCACTCTATTGAAAAAGATATCGGCTGATCGCAACGTAATAAACCTGCGTCCAGGCTTCAGACATTGACTTCAGCAGTTACTCTAAAGGAAAGTACCGACGAGCAGCACTTTTGCTACAGCCTGCCATCGCAGCCACATTGCGAGTACAAGTCATTCCACTGCAAGATGATGCTGCAACATTCGATGTCTCAATAAAATTCAAATTAAGCGAATATATGCAACGTTTAACATTATAATAAAGCAGAACATAGTGAAAAGTAGAAAAGTAAAATAAGAAAAGTAAATATATCACACTGTCTGTCTGAAACAAAAAATGTACTTTCAGAATCTGAAAATCTAATGAAAAATGGCAATGGGAAAAATGGATCAGAAAGCGAAGTAGTTTTTGCGAATTTGTTTACTAGGGCAAGCATCAGTGAAGCAGTAAGTGATTGATTACTGCCATCGTCATTTCAGAGGGATCGCAGCATGAACGTTCATGTACAACTACATCTCAACTATGAAAATCTCAGGTCTTCACACACAAATGGCGGAAGAAAAAGATGTTATTCCCATTTTCTGACTTAAAGCCAGATCTCTCGTCATTCTCGCCCATAAGTCATTACAATTGTCCAAAAATCATATGCTGATGACCTGACATCATCGACTTTTCTCAGCAATTAATGGAGATTATGGTTTTCACTTCTTCCATTGTAATCAAGATTTCATTTTTCTGCACAGAAATCATAACCAAAGCATAAGGAGCTCTCTCGATCCTAGCAATCACAGCCTCCCTTGCCAACTGTTCAAAGGTTCAAAAAAGGACAGCATTACACGGCTATCCTGTTAGCATGACAGCATTCAGTTCGCAATACAATCTCGTGTTTCATCGCTACTTGTCCTCAGCGAATAAGACTCCAATTTTGGAGTAGGGAGAGTGCAAACTTTACGCTCATTTTCCATAGCCGCTTTTACCATTGGGTCCCAGAAGCAGAAGCACCAGAAAGTCCTTCAAACGTTGCCGATCTAACGCCAGAATCTGAGTCTAAAGCTGAAAGGTCTCGACATTGCGCTATTTGCTCTGACGCAGCATCTGTTCTCAGAATGCAATGATTGGATGGCCCTTAGCAGCTGGCCATCTATCCTATATGCTCGAAGGCATCACCAAATACTGTTGCGTGGGATCCAGTTATAGGCTTTTTCTAGGTCCACAAAACACATGTACACCGGCTGGGCGTACTCCCACGATTTCTCAACAAT